TCAAATTTTGACAATTTTTTTTCTAAACGAAAAAATAATTCTCTAAATTACTTACTTACTCTCTCTAGAATTTTTTCTATCGAAAAAATTACAAATACTAAAAAAAAGTTATACTACAAACCCAAACCCACTTAAAACTTAAAACTCGAAAATAAAAATTTAATATTAATTAAAAAATCTTTAATTATTAAATTTATCTATAATTTCTGAAAATTAGCCTATATTCTGACAACAAATAAATGAAAGCTTCATAAGAAAGTGAATGTATAAAAGGAAAGAGATATTTATTGAAAGGTATATTTATTATTTATTTATAATTCAAAATTAGATAGTTGTAAAATATCTCTAAAATTGCAGAAATACTATGAATTTCAAATCTGGATAGAAAAGGTTTCCAAAATAGATAAAAGCATTTAAATCAAATTCATATATTAAATTTTATATCTAAAATCAAAAAATGGCAATAATAATTTTGTTGTTATTATTCCTTTCAGTTTCATCATTCATAACAATTGATTCAGGATCCTATATTGATCTAAATTATACATTGGGTTTCCCTTGTTAAAATAATTACTAGACAACTAGAACCATTACATTTTCAAACACATTTCAGAATATACCTTAAGTTTTTATTTATGCATACTAACTTGATGTTCCTAATGATGTGACTGAATTTTAATTTTCAATAGCCAGCATTAAAAATACTAGTAAGCTTCTATTTCTTAAATTAGATTTTTAATTCACTGTGAAATGTACCAAAGCTGTTAGAGTATATTCTGTCAGATATGAATGGATAGCAATAGATGATAAACGAGTTTAGGTGATTAATTCATTTAATATGAATCCCCCAGAGGATAAAGTATTTAATCATGAATTACTCAATGTTGATACTGCAGTAATAGGGATAACAAGTTTGGCAATTATTGGATAAATCGACTTTAAGTTATCTGTAAATATTGTTTTTTTAATCTTAGATAACATAGTTAACCCCAACCAGTGTTTCAGTTGAAATAACAAAAGTGACAGGAAAGTTTCAAAATTTGATACAAATAGGTTACCAAATCCTATTAGTATCTTCTAGAGATATCATCAATAAAGGACTAGTTACTTTCTCACCTGATTATACTAGTCCTGCAATGAATTCAGAACAAAATAAATGGTTAATATTACCTATTAAGGAATATAATTTAATTATGCCTGCCAATTAACAATACGAATGTCGAAAAATATAGGAGCATCAACAACTACATTTAGTTTTAAAAAGTGTAAGAATTCTTATTGAAAATAGGGAATAGTGCTGCTGGTTCATTCCAGATTACGATTTAAAATATGTGGTTGTCATAATTATTTGCAGTAAATTAAGCACTTTAATGCAAAACATTAAGAATAAGTTAAAAATTAGATTTTTCATAATGTTTAAGACCGTAATTTGAAATCTAAATACTTCAATCAAATTTAATATATAATGAAATTGGACAATTTACAACTAAGGTCTTTAAACCAATAACAAATATTGATTTCGTTCTGTTAGTAAATTGTTTAACAGGAAAACATGTAGTCTCTTAATTTAATAAATGCAATGCTTGTCCCATACAAAAATATTATTAATTTAATCACTATTGTCACTCATAAATCAATTTAATAAGCTATTTTCCTAAGTTTACCTAAGTAGATTCAGTTAATTAAGAGTTCACCATCACAATAACAAGTTCAAGTTGTTAAGTTAAGTAGATACTTTATAATTAAGTGAGAACAGAATAAATTATTTTAAATATTGAAATATTATGAAGTAGGAAAAATAATAAAGTTTACATATTAAAATTTTACCATTATTGTTTCTATTTATAAAAGGGTTGGATGTGGTCGAAATTTTTTTTTTTTAAATATATTAATTGCCAATCATAAAAACTTAATTTTCTTATGATTAACATAGATTTTGAATTTAAAGTATTTAAATATGTACCTGATCACTTTCAGATCAATAATATTATTGAATCAATCTGAACTAAACAATTGTTGTACATTTGATGATGTTTTAAATATTGTCATTATGCTTTAATTTTTGATACTATATATAAAAGTATGATTTTCTATTCCTAGATAATCAAAAGTGGATTGGAAATGACCAGATATTTCAGATTTCCATAACAAATAGTACACCAAATTTCCATGCTTTAAAGTTTTGATTTGTTGTCAAAATTTGATTTGGCATTTTTATTATATTATTGAGATGATCATTTTAAAAACAAAGAGACCTAACTATCTAAATTATAAGTAATATTAAAGTAATGCATATTATTTCAACAACATTAGAGAACAAAAAGGGTTTTTGTGGCTATAGTGAGCCTTTTCCACTAGCTAAGATTATGGCAATATGTCATAATTCTTTACAAAGAAATGAAAATTAAACAAACTTAATCTTAATTCTCTCTTTGACAAATTTCTATTAAAAAATAAAGAACAATATATAAAGATATTTTGATAAGATGAAAACTGCGAAAATTCAAGTATAATTAGAACTCTTAAATAGATTTATTGGCAAATTAAAAGTTTATACTATTTTATCAGACCAATCGACAACTTTATTATCCTTTTTAGAATCTGTGATAATGATAACAATTCATTAACTTCTTCCTTCCATCTTTTCAAATCAGTTGAAGGATAGACAAGAAATTTTGACCTTATAAATATTGAATATTCATAAATAATGAATATTCATAAATAATTTTAACTTTACAAATACATAAAGCTATAGTGCTAATCTTTTTAGGTAAACCTATCAAGCTTTATTTGATAATATTGCAATTTCTTAATATTTCTATAGTTTAACCAAAAACAACAAGGACTCCAAACCTTAACATTAATTTAATCAAGATTCAAAATAAGTTAAATCAGTCTACGTGTTCTTGTAATTGAGGGAAATATGTCAATTCCGACTAATGATCATCCTCAATATTAAAGGATACTAATATTGTATTTAAAGAAATTTCTATCTATTATTTCCAAACTAATTACTTTGATTCAAAATGTTGTAGTTAAAGATGTTAGTTGCAACAGTTTTTTGAATTCACTAAATAATGATAAATAATGGGATCTCTTTTGGTAGTGATTCATAAAGAATTAGAGAGTTTGTAATCCTTTATTAATTATTACCCGATTCTTCATAATTTAGAATAAAATCACAATTTATAAATTGAATCAATATTATATTATTAAGCTAATGCTCTTTTTATAATATTTTATATAAGATAATATATCATATATATGAGATGCCAATACTTGCTTAACATAGCATTAGCTATTGATCTTAGGCATGTAAATAATTTTATGAGAAAGACAAAATGTATTCAAATAATAATAATAGGTTTATGTTAATTAACATAACATTATTTAATTTATAATTAAGATTAATACATTAATTTGAGGATTCAATTATTTGTTTGAATAAAACATGAGCCACTGATCCTAAGCGTAATACTTCTTTAAGACATAAAAGTTGACTAAATCATAATCATATTTATTGGTGAATAATTAAAAAACGAACATAAAAATTAAAAGTTATCAACTAATATTGTTTTTCAACTTTGATTTCTTCAAAAGTTTCTAATCCAAATAACAGAATTTATAGTCTTGATTAGTATTCCTTTAAATAAAAAATAATCTATGAGTTTTCCTAATAATCATTTCTTAAATAATACTGCAAATTATGAAGCTAATATTCTCAACTTAAAGATATTTTCATACATATAAATATTATTGGTCATGAAAAAAATATACTAGAGGTATGAGATGATGCTTATTCTATTTCTCCATAAATTCAGGACACTCTGTTTTGAGATATGTATTTTGTTCGAGAAACTACTTAGATTTACATACTCATTCAAGGTTAAAGCAGAATATGCTTAAACTTAAATTCATTACAAAAAGAAGATTAATGGAGTTAAAACTTAAAGTAAAAAAGGATTCCTTAGAGTTGATTATAGATACATGAATTAATTTTAACCATTTAACAATTTAAAGTATCCAAAAAATAAAAGAAAAATGTTCTTCTTTGAACATTGCAATTCAATTTTATTTGAATTTAATGATACCTATATCAAGTTGGATTAGAAGTGAACTTTACCTTTTAAATAGAGAAAAATCATAAATTATTTATTCATTAATCTCAATATCATTATTTACTCAGATGATTGAAATAGAGATGACTAAGTACCTTGTCATAATAGTATTTTGTGGTCCAGTAGTATATTTTATATTTATTGTACAAAACCAATATTCATTCAAATTGTTTAGTTATTCCTTATAAGGATTTGATATTAAGATTTATTATCAATTTTTTAATTTTAGGACTATCAACAAAAATACTAATCAAACTAACTTATTTTTATTAATATATTGAACAATGAACTCAATTTATAGTAATTTTAAATTTTGTTAAATAAAATGAAAGTTGTATATTTATTATTAGGGTGCCTTATTAACTATTTAAATTCAAAGTGCATTGAATTATAAGTACAACCTTATATTACTAGTTAATCATTCGAAATAAATTGTAATATTTTAGAAGGAGATGTTGAAGATTATTACTAGCTTCAACACCTCAATTATCAAATTGTAGAAAAGTCATTCTAAATTCCATATTAAGAAGAACCTATTTTAATATGAGTCATCAATTCCTTGTATCAAAATAAAATACAAGAAAAGTTGATGTGCTTCTTGCTTGTTAACCTTGAATATTATATCACTTGTATGACCTTTGACTTAATTTTGTATGAGGAATAAACTAATTATAAGGAATTAATTAGAATAGAGACAAAAATATTAGCTAACGAAATCTGTGATGAATTGTTTACAAATGAAGATTAGAGTTTAAGCTTATTTTGTCTCAGTTAATCTACTCTAAAATCTTATTTGTTGGATTTCAAAAGGAATGTGACTTTAAGTTTGGAACTTAATGTGTCTGAACAAATAAATGACGAATGCAAAAAAACATAGATTAAGTGGAAGGAAAATAAATATTTAATTGTGTTTTATCAATGTTCTAGATGGAAAGTTATATTAATTTAAGACAATCAAGTAAAAACCATATTTGATGCTTAAATGATGTAACAAGACACTTACCTATCAAGCCTCTCTTAAATTGATGATGTAACTTTTTGTGAACCTAATGATTCAACTTCTACTCTTTATTTGATAGAAAATAATTTTTATAGTAAATTTCATAAAATTATACTGCATGTTCAAGTGCTTTTGAATTAAAATGGAATTATAAATTCCTTATTAGTATAACAAAAAAATCGAATTCAAAAAATAGTAATATAGCAGAAATGCTAAATGATTGTATTAGTCCATGAATTGAATAAAACCGATCCATCAAAAATTGAAGCAGAAGTCCGACTGAATTAACAATATCCAATCAATAATATTCACTTTCATTAAAATCTTCTTTTCTTCTAAAACTAATTTGAATTAAATGTATAAATTAATTAACGCATTAATTAGACATATCAAATTTGCAATACTTCGTTGTAATTTTTTGATTTTGCTAATTTATTCTGTTAATATGATCAGACAAAAAAATTGATATAATTTTATAAATATTAACCATTAAGTGATTTTATAAAACCTAAATTGCAGTTTGTGTACGTAATTTAGAAAAACAATTTGTTTAGACGAGATAACGTTGTATAGTGTATTAAAATTTTATACGAAAATAATACTTAGAAAGAAGCATCACAATTCACTGAGTTTATAAAATTTCAAAATAATTGTTAAAATAAGTAATAAATATTATGGAATTTGACTACCCTAACTCTTTTAATAATAGTACTTACTATCTATAAAGTAGGGATGGTAGTCTACAGGTAAGTATATAGAAATATTAAGACTTTCAACACAATTGTTTATAAAGACTTTATAAATTTTATTAGTAAGGTAAGTTCTAGCTAAAAGAAATAACAAAAGACTACATATTTTTTCAATATGAAGCTTTTTTTTACATCTATGATTGCAAGCATTATCAATTTGTAGTTTCTGTAAGCATAAATTAGTATTATGTACTTGAATCTAAATCAGCCTTTTATTTTGTAAATAGAAATTATAGTAGTTATTTGAGAGGAGTTTAATTTACAACAGATATTATTTTAAACTTGAAGATCAAATTAAAAGAAGAGATTACAGGCTTTAAAAAAATTTATGAAAGTATATTTCTTTACACTAACAGTTCGAATATACCTATTATTATATTAATGCATTCTTAGTAAAATTCAGTACACAATTATCTATCAAAAAATCTTTATTAACCTGAACCTATTCTTTCTTATTCTGAGTTTGGAAACTCAAAATTTATTCAATATGCAAAGATTTTAATCGTATAAAATTAAAAGCAATTAAGAATGTTTCAATTTTCAGATTCATTAATTATTTCTGTTCAAGCTAAATTTTCATTTGATTGTTACATTCTAGTTTCAGTACAAAACTCAACTAGATCTTTAATTCTAAGTTATTTTTATGATTAACAACTACATCAAATTTAAAATTACACTTTTTAGGACTATTCATTTTATTATCCTTTTAAGTACACAATAAACAACGATAACTTAGCTCTTTTACTTGAATAAAATATATCGCTATATATAGCCATTTTTTAATATAATTTATCCATGTTATCTTTAAATGAAATTATTGAAACTGATGATTCCTTTTTTTAATTTGATTCCTATCGCTTTTTGTTTTCATTTGATAAAGTATGGAGACATTTATTCTTGAAACAATAATTTGTCGAATTAAAAAGAGAATAACCTCTTTAAAACGCCTTGTTCTCAAACTTTTCAATGAAAATAAAAGAGGAGGGTGTTTAATTATGTATTTCAGTTGAAAATCAATGCTTTGAGTTACATTCTCTCATGAAATCATCTATAATTGAAATTCTAAACACAAAAAGTTTAAAATTAAATATTTCCTAGATGTTTAATGGTCCAATTAGTAATTTGACACTATTAAATAATTCAAACATAATTTTGAAAGGACCTTTTCAATTTTTGTAAGAAATTTCATTTTGTAAATATTAAACTTCAACAATATGTTTTAGAAAATATCATTTAGAATCAAAAAGTTTTACAGTTTTTGTTTAGGAAAATTAAATTTTTGAAGTACTTAAAAATAGTTTATTGAATGATTATTATATAACTTGGTTGAAATAGTAAAATTATCTTTGTGTTTCATAATTATTTGATATTCTAAAAATTGATGTAATTGAATGTTCTGAGAATGAAGATGGAGATTGTAAAATTATATCAAATCTTAGTGAAAATTTCAAAATAAATTAAACTTCTATAGCAGACACAATAAGAGTTGGTAATTTACTCAGACTCTCAGGTGAAATGAATAAGGCTTTTATTTTTATTGATGATATCAATTTTAATGTCTAAATGTTCCCTGACATCATCATAGATATCCAATATATTGAAAAATCTAATAATTAGTACCTCATTCTATAGAAAAGCAGAGAGGATTAAAATGAATTAGAATTCACTATATATTAGATTAATTTGCATCAAAAATACTAGATATACTCATTAATAATTAATCAATAAATTATTCAGAATTATTGAAAAATGGAAATTTTTTAAAAACTAAATTTATAATGAAATTAGTCTCATGTAAATATTCAGGAGATTTGATTAATATTTAACTTCTCGTTGTGGATTCGTCTTTTTCATAATTATTCTAGTTGAATTTAGATTATTAAAAGAATTAAATTTAATTCTAATTGTTAAACGAGTTTAGAAATTTCATTCCCTAAAATAGTTTTGTAATTACAGATTTTATCATTTAGTATATAGATGATACTATTTTGGTTTTAAAATAAACTGGTTATGTATTCTCTCAATTTTATGAATTTCATTAAGATAGAAAATTATATGACTATTTTCATAAATCTGAAATTTCTATGTAGATAAAAAGATTAAATATATACTTGTTTTAGATGAAAATGAAATCTTTTTATATGAATAATACTCCAATTCTGTAATTCTTTTATAATACTCATTTCATTTTCACTGATAGTCTTTCTATATATATAGGAATAATTGGATATGAATTAGAAGTATAAAATTGCGATGAAATTGAATAAAATTTTGAATTGCTTGCCTACAATGAGATATCAAATGAGAGAGTTTCATTATAATTACATCTAATTAAAACAAATCAGTACTCGATGAATAGCATTTTGGGAATTTAAATATCTTGCCTTGCTTTCATATTCATATACACAAGCAAAATTAAGTCTAAATCTAGAAATCAAAAGCAAAATAGATGATTTCGAGTTAAAATCTATTATATAATTATTTTAATAATTATTATTAATTAAAAATAAATAAAATGAAGTAATGTTATTAAATTGTAAAATATATAATCAATGGTTTTGTTTATAGGTTGTTTCGAAATATGCGGCTAATTATTTCATATTATACCTAGATTACTTTATTTTAATTGAATTGAACTCCGCCTTCTCCAAAATGCCTTTTATTTAATAATGAATTTGCTATTTAAAAAGTATTTGTATGATTTCACTTATTAATCATCCATAAATTAAATAATCAAAATATATATAGAATGTCTTTTTAATTATATCAGTGCCAGTTTTTACTTGATTATATTTTAAATGATGAACAATTTTTACAAACTTAAAACGAATTAATCCTTTATTAACAAAATATTTAATAAATATTTGTTTCGATTATTATTCATCCAAAGTTTATTGATTCATAGTATTAGAAAAGATACTGAAATTAAAATAGTAAATAATAACTATATCCAAATTTTTACTTATTACCTCACATATTTAAATAAGTTTTACGTTAAAATGAATCCATTTCCAACCACCCATTCCAAGTTGAATATTTTTTACTTCGTTAGTGAGTTGAATGTATTTGGTTGTTAGTCTATGAGCTTTCTTAGCCCTAAATTAATTATTTGAAGTCTATCACTAGGAGTTAAATATGATTCATATGCTTCTTTTAACAATTAATTCCTTCGGCAAGATAATTAAGCATTAATTGCCATTCATACTTTAAAATTTAGTCAAAGTTAAATTTAAAATTAATACAGATGTTAGAGCTTTTTCAACCTTTATATCTCATTTCATTCAAAATATCTGGTTTGGAGAAACTAAATAATAAGAGCTTTCAATTCATTTTTTAAGTTTGGATACAATCCAAATTTGTTCTGGAGCATTTTACTTTCTCATAGGATTCTATCGTATCTTTTGAATAGTGATATCAAGTAAATGAATCATATATACCTGAGAATCTCTTGACTTTTAGATAATGTTGGAATAATAACTTTTTATTACTAGTACATTTCTTAGGATATATTACAAAAATCTTTCTGAATAATGAGAATGTATTAAGGAATATTTGATTGGATTAGTTTTCTTCTAAATACTTCATCTGTTGAATCTGCAAATAAAATGTCAATTCTAAGTTCATACATCTCTACATCAAACTATTCTAAGCATCTCATTTAAGCTTTATTAATATCAAATGCCTATTCTAATTTGTTAGTAAAGAGTTCCACATCCACTTAGCCAAGAACGAGTTCACCTTATTTTGAATCAATAAGTATCTTACCTCTGAAACAAGAATCACTCATATTAATTTGATTTAATATTCTTTAAATTGAAGAAACCAAAATCCCCAAATGAATTTGCTACTAAATCAAACTCTTAAAATAATATTTTGGATTTTAAGTCTAGTTTTTATTCAACTATTTCCTTAAATTGTATGTTAATTGTTTTTATATATTTAATTATTTAATTAATTATAATGGTTATTCATCTTCATCTAAAGCTGTAAAAAAACTACAATTAAATTCTTTTTAATTCTGGAGGAAAAATTAATAGTTATAATGATTTTTTATTGTGGATATTTTTATGTGCATTTCATAAGTAAATCAAATTTATTATTGTTATGGATTATTTGTTGAATTTATAATTGATAATTCTAATAATTTCAATGGGAATTTCATATTTAATCACATCATCATAATTTTATTAAGAAAATAAAAAAACTAATTAATGAGATTACAGAATAACGGTTATAAAAAATTAATCTTTATATTATAAGTACTGAGCAATAATTCTTAATATATTTGTGTATAAAAACCAGTTATAGACTAAAATATTAGAGAAGTATAATCTCAACCTAATATTAGCAAATTTAATATTAAAAATTTAGTTGATTTATGGGAGAAATTATTTAATTGAATTTTGGGGATATTGGAAATAATGTTGGACACTAATATTTAGAGAAGTTGATAGATGATCATTATCTAGATGATAAAAACAACTCGACGAAGGATTAATACAGACAAAAAGTTCATGTATCATTTGAGGAGTTAAGGAAGAAATAATACTAATTTAGAGGAATATTTGATAATTCAAGCGATTGTAAAATAACAAATTATATTATAGAATCCATCAATAAACTATTAACATCTCCTGGATGTGAATACATCAATAATGACTTATTATTGTAGAATAAAAATAGAAATAAATCAGGTACCTTTTCAAATAGCTAAATAAACTTAGAGATTAAGTACAAGACGAACTGTTTGAAAAATTGAGTCATCAAATTGAGAGATGTGATAACGTTTTTGGATGTCATTTTGTGCATTCTACTTTTGATTATTCATCAGGTTCATCATCATAAGCATTAAGTTAATATAGGGAAAGATATTCATCTAAATTTTGCAGTTCATTTTCGATGCTTCCAAACGTTGTAAGTACTAATACAATCGAGATTTATAATACTACGTTTTCATTATATAGATTAATTGAAGATTGCGATGTAGTTATGATATTTGATTAAGAAGCTTTGGAAAATTAATTGATAAAACTAAGATAATCCTGTACTTTTGAAAATAATAATAATTTTATAGCGGAATGCTTATTATAATTGAATTGCTCTTAACGTTTTCCTGGTTATTAGAATGGGAACATAAGAAAATTGTCTACTAATCTAATTCCTTTTCCTCGTTTGCACTTTTTGACATGCACCTTTACTCCTATTGATATTAGCTCAGATTTGAATTACTAATTAACAAATTTAAGCCTACCTAATAACTCTTATTTCTCTTTTAAAAATTCTACTAGAAATTTATACTTTGCTCAAGCATTGATTACAAGATGCAATTCAAATAATATAGATTTTTAATAAGCTTCGTCAACATTCTCAAATAAGATAGAATGGATAGCAGATGCTGTATTTCATATAAATTGTAAGATTGAAAATAGAAATCTAGGAAAAACAGTTATGCATGTTGGGAATCATAGAGATTTAGGACATAGCTTCAAAACACATGGCGAGATATTTACTGCAAATTTGNAATTGATAATTCTAATAATTTCAATGGGAATTTCATATTTAATCACATCATCATAATTTTATTAAGAAAATAAAAAAACTAATTAATGAGATTACAGAATAACGGTTATAAAAAATTAATCTTTATATTATAAGTACTGAGCAATAATTCTTAATATATTTGTGTATAAAAACCAGTTATAGACTAAAATATTAGAGAAGTATAATCTCAACCTAATATTAGCAAATTTAATATTAAAAATTTAGTTGATTTATGGGAGAAATTATTTAATTGAATTTTGGGGATATTGGAAATAATGTTGGACACTAATATTTAGAGAAGTTGATAGATGATCATTATCTAGATGATAAAAACAACTCGACGAAGGATTAATACAGACAAAAAGTTCATGTATCATTTGAGGAGTTAAGGAAGAAATAATACTAATTTAGAGGAATATTTGATAATTCAAGCGATTGTAAAATAACAAATTATATTATAGAATCCATCAATAAACTATTAACATCTCCTGGATGTGAATACATCAATAATGACTTATTATTGTAGAATAAAAATAGAAATAAATCAGGTACCTTTTCAAATAGCTAAATAAACTTAGAGATTAAGTACAAGACGAACTGTTTGAAAAATTGAGTCATCAAATTGAGAGATGTGATAACGTTTTTGGATGTCATTTTGTGCATTCTACTTTTGATTATTCATCAGGTTCATCATCATAAGCATTAAGTTAATATAGGGAAAGATATTCATCTAAATTTTGCAGTTCATTTTCGATGCTTCCAAACGTTGTAAGTACTAATACAATCGAGATTTATAATACTACGTTTTCATTATATAGATTAATTGAAGATTGCGATGTAGTTATGATATTTGATTAAGAAGCTTTGGAAAATTAATTGATAAAACTAAGATAATCCTGTACTTTTGAAAATAATAATAATTTTATAGCGGAATGCTTATTATAATTGAATTGCTCTTAACGTTTTCCTGGTTATTAGAATGGGAACATAAGAAAATTGTCTACTAATCTAATTCCTTTTCCTCGTTTGCACTTTTTGACATGCACCTTTACTCCTATTGATATTAGCTCAGATTTGAATTACTAATTAACAAATTTAAGCCTACCTAATAACTCTTATTTCTCTTTTAAAAATTCTACTAGAAATTTATACTTTGCTCAAGCATTGATTACAAGATGCAATTCAAATAATATAGATTTTTAATAAGCTTCGTCAACATTCTCAAATAAGATAGAATGGATAGCAGATGCTGTATTTCATATAAATTGTAAGATTGAAAATAGAAATCTAGGAAAAACAGTTATGCATGTTGGGAATCATAGAGATTTAGGACATAGCTTCAAAACACATGGCGAGATATTTACTGCAAATTTGAGAAGAAAAGCTTTCTTACATTATTATTTATAAGATGGTATGGATGAAATGGAATTCACAGAGGCTGAGTCAAATCTGAATGATTTTATCTCTGAGTATTTTGAATGTTGTTGTGGTATATCAGAATACGATGAAGAGGAGTAAGATTATTGATAAGCCTTATGAGAATAATTATAAATTATTGATAATACATACATAAAGTCATTTTTTGAATATTTTTAGAGAATATTAAAGTCTTTTAGTTGAAACAAATCAAAATTTATCAACAGCTTATTGATATGATTATTATTAGTCCCATAATTTCGAATTATATATTATTATTATTAATTCTTATCTGTTTATAACTTTTTGGATGAGTCTTTTAATTCATCTATTGGAATATCTCCATCAAATCTTTTCACCTTGAAATTATTTATTATTATATTATTGCATTTCTCTAATAAAAATTGATATTAAACATTTAATTATCTAATCATGTATTTCTATAAGCGACTCTTTGCTATATATTTCTACTCGCTTTGTTAATTTTTAATTCATTTTTTTTATTTTACATAATTCAGACAATGACCATCACTAATTCTTTCATCATTAATGAGGATAATCTAAGGTTGTCTAGTCCCATATAATACTAACTTATAAACTTTGTTAATATAATAATTAACTTCTTCAATGTGCAAGACGTTAAGATAAACATCAGTAGTGTAATATTACTTGATGTATAAATATAAATGAATTGATTCTCTAAATTATAATGATATCTAAACTAACATATAAATAATCTAATTCGATTTTGGTGAAAAATACAAAAATAATCAATATTACATATATCTCAAAAATATTGATCAAAAAAGGAGCAATTCTAATTAAAGCATCTGTAAAATTTATAAGCTACTTAAGAATAATAACATTATAAATTACCTAAAAAAGGGTTTAAATACTTTTCATTTTCTCGAATTATTTCTTTATTCTACTATGAAATTAGTGAATATAACTAAACAATTAATTCTATTTGGATAATATCTAAATAATAGTTATTAGTTTAAATATTTCTAGTATAAAACAACATTGTAATATCATATCCCACCCATGAGTAATTTAGCTATTGTAATCCTTAAAAAGACATAAAGAGGACTAACTAGTGAAACTATGATATTGGAGGTAAGCATTAAAATTATAGTATAAAATATAAAATTTATAAATTAAAATGATAGCTATAAAGAAAACAACACATTAATTTATTTGAGATGAACAATTAATAATAAAGTTAGAATTTACTTTAATTATTTTTCCATCAGAATATATTGATGTTTATGAAAAATAATAAATTTAAAGATTCACTCAAAAAGTATAAATCTTTTAAAGTTTATTAAATATTGCTATATAGCCTTATTAAATTACTATAATATTTTACTACTAGAAGAATATATTTCTCAATTTTACAACTTATGTAAACAATTAGGAAATTAACTATATCTTAAATATTAAAAATAATCGACTATAAAAGCAGATTTTATATAATAACTATTACAGAAATTTTATGGAAAAACCAAAAAACTACATCATTCTCAAAAATTCGAAACCCGATAATTTGATCATCCTTATTATTAGTTTTAATACCATATGATTTAAATTATCATAATTCGCACTAAAATTAATAATCGAATTTCAGTAAGTAAATTATTTTAATGCTTTGAATATGAGCAAACCTGCAAAGAAGATTAAATTTGTTGGATTGTTTAAAGAAATTAAATTTTCTATAAAACCATTTTTGCAATAATCATTTAAAATATATTCAGATAAATCATAGCCTGGAATTAAAAATTTTAAGAAAGCATAATTATTAAGATCCTTTAAATTGATTAATTTATCTAATTATCTGTATATAAATAATACTTTTAATAAATTGACAAGATTCTTATTGTCAATCAACGAGTGATTGTTGAAAAAAAACTTAAGGAGCAATTTTAAGAAAACAGTAAAGAATTGCATCTCAATAATAACATTTTTGGGATTATTAGATAGAATCTTAAATTATCGTAAAGAGTAAATTACACTAAGATCTGATATTTATAATTTAAGTATTGCTTCTTTATTAATGAAATTTGCAACAATGGTTTTGGCAGCTTCTTAATAATTTACAACGAAGTTTAAATTTTTAATTATATGAGTGAAATGATGAGTGTTATTTCAAAATTTTGCTTATATAACAAATCCAAATCTTGATGGCTATTATTTAATATATATATAATAGACATTGATTAAAAGTAAATTTGTAAAGAAATAATAGATTATAGGATAGAGGAGATAAGAAAATATCGGTCAAATCATTTGAATAAATCAACGATCTTTTTATCCTGAAATTTTCTTAGTGCTATTTATTGTATTAATTTTGATTTTGTATTAATATTTGTTTTAAAAATGCAAAAATTAATATCTGATTTAAAGAGCCTTGAAGAATCAAAATAACTTTAAAAGTCAAAGCTACATAACTTATTTCTTGAATTTGATTAGATTAAAAAAAAATAGTCTGAGATTCTACACCCATCAAACCCAAAAGAAAATTTACTTTTAAGAATTAGACCAGAACTTTTTGCCTTAGTTTTAGAGTTTTTGGATTTAAAGACCTGTTTTAGATTTCGATTGATGAGTGGGCGTGCCAATATATGTATTATGAAATAGTTACACCAAAAAATAAAGCAATTATAAGATTAATCAGACAATTTAGAGTATTAGTTGAATGATTTACAAAATAAATATTCATAAGAATTANATATCATATCCCACCCATGAGTAATTTAGCTATTGTAATCCTTAAAAAGACATAAAGAGGACTAACTAGTGAAACTATGATATTGGAGGTAAGCATTAAAATTATAGTATAAAATATAAAATTTATAAATTAAAATGATAGCTATAAAGAAAACAACACATTAATTTATTTGAGATGAACAATTAATAATAAAGTTAGAATTTACTTTAATTATTTTTCCATCAGAATATATTGATGTTTATGAAAAATAATAAATTTAAAGATTCACTCAAAAAGTATAAATCTTTTAAAGTTTATTAAATATTGCTATATAGCCTTATTAAATTACTATAATATTTTACTACTAGAAGAATATATTTCTCAATTTTACAACTTATGTAAACAATTAGGAAATTAACTATATCTTAAATATTAAAAATAATCGACTATAAAAGCAGATTTTATATAATAACTATTACAGAAATTTTATGGAAAAACCAAAAAACTACATCATTCTCAAAAATTCGAAACCCGATAATTTGATCATCCTTATTATTAGTTTTAATACCATATGATTTAAATTATCATAATTCGCACTAAAATTAATAATCGAATTTCAGTAAGTAAATTATTTTAATGCTTTGAATATGAGCAAACCTGCAAAGAAGATTAAATTTGTTGGATTGTTTAAAGAAATTAAATTTTCTATAAAACCATTTTTGCAATAATCATTTAAAATATATTCAGATAAATCATAGCCTGGAATTAAAAATTTTAAGAAAGCATAATTATTAAGATCCTTTAAATTGATTAATTTATCTAATTATCTGTATATAAATAATACTTTTAATAAATTGACAAGATTCTTATTGTCAATCAACGAGTGATTGTTGAAAAAAAACTTAAGGAGCAATTTTAAGAAAACAGTAAAGAATTGCATCTCAATAATAACATTTTTGGGATTATTAGATAGAATCTTAAATTATCGTAAAGAGTAAATTACACTAAGATCTGATATTTATAATTTAAGTATTGCTTCTTTATTAATGAAATTTGCAACAATGGTTTTGGCAGCTTCTTAATAATTTACAACGAAGTTTAAATTTTTAATTATATGAGTGAAATGATGAGTGTTATTTCAAAATTTTGCTTATATAACAAATCCAAATCTTGATGGCTATTATTTAATATATATATAATAGACATTGATTAAAAGTAAATTTGTAAAGAAATAATAGATTATAGGATAGAGGAGATAAGAAAATATCGGTCAAATCATTTGAATAAATCAACGATCTTTTTATCCTGAAATTTTCTTAGTGCTATTTATTGTATTAATTTTGATTTTGTATTAATATTTGTTTTAAAAATGCAAAAATTAATATCTGATTTAAAGAGCCTTGAAGAATCAAAATAACTTTAAAAGTCAAAGCTACATAACTTATTTCTTGAATTTGATTAGATTAAAAAAAAATAGTCTGAGATTCTACACCCATCAAACCCAAAAGAAAATTTACTTTTAAGAATTAGACCAGAACTTTTTGCCTTAGTTTTAGAGTTTTTGGATTTAAAGACCTGTTTTAGATTTCGATTGATGAGTGGGCGTGCCAATATATGTATTATGAAATAGTTACACCAAAAAATAAAGCAATTATAAGATTAATCAGACAATTTAGAGTATTAGTTGAATGATTTACAAAATAAATATTCATAAGAATTAATAAATCAGGATTTATTGCTAATACGACAAAATGCCCAAAATGGTTTGACACAATTAAATAGAGCAGATATTGAAGAAATTAGAATATATTCAAGACCACCTTAGATTGTATCCAAAGTTATTTCATTAGTTTGTATACTTTTGGATTAGAATATAAAATAAAATTAAGAAAATTGGTCTGATTGCTAAAAGTATTTGAGAGATTCTAATAACTTATTGAATTAACTATTACAATTGGAAATAGAAAAAATTTCTGATTCTAAATTGAAGTTGCTTTAAGAAATACATAATGTTTAAGGTTAATAAGTTTAAAATATATCAAAAGGGTGTTATGGTTTTTACCTATTTATCAAATCAATTGTTGAAATAAGAGAATCTAAATATTACATTATATAGAATTAAAAGTTAAATTTAGAAAAATCAATTAAATTCAATAAAAGTCAAATAGAAAAATTACAATAGATATCAAAATGAGATAGAATGAAAATTTATATTTAAGGACATATAAATAAAAAAATAAGGTGAAATCCAATTTTTTTTCTTTTTTATTTTTTATTTTATAGAAATTTAATTGTTGAATTGAATACAAAAATAAGTAGAAATGAAAAATTTGAATTCTGACTAAGTTTTTAACATCAATATTATTTTCTATAATAACTGAAATTTTCTACGAATTAATATTAATCTGAAGTATTCATTATAAGAAACAAAGATATAATAATTTAAGACTTTTTTATTAATTCTCAATGTCTTGTAAGCGAGTGTTCAATTTATCATTATGGAATGCAAAAATTCTCAGATATTTA